AAGCAGCTTTTGTGATACATCACCATGTTTGTTCTCTGGAAGACTAAGGTAGATAAAGTACATGCATCTGTGTTTCCTCTGATGCCCTGCAGGCCATCACTAAGAGAACTGTAATGAGAAAAGGTGCAGTGATGCGTTGTAGAAGTGATTAGTAAGGTATGTTCTCCTAAGATGAGTTCCCTATCAGGGATGCCTTAGGGTGGCATTTTTGTGGTTTTAGATAACATTCAGTCCCATCATATGTTTCTTCTTCAGTCAGCTGGTTTACTAGATAGCCCATGGCTAAACCATTGGCAGGAGAAGGTGAAGTGGAAACTATCCAAGTTTTTAATAAGCTGAAGGGTGACAAAGCAGATATTAGAAGCACTTAGTCTAGTTAGTAGGAATTAGAGAAGGCATGTAATAACTAAGGACAATAACATATTTTGAGAGTTTCTCCAGATATGATAGGAAGCCCTTCTAGATCTCTTTGAGATCTGAAGGAGTCCACATTCGTAATCCCAGGTAAAAGTTAATGGTATTCCAATAAATAATTCCTGTCTACCATTTCCAGTGCAGTGAGAATAAATGAACTAAGGCCTATTTGCAGTTGCGGGCAGCCAAGGGGTTCCTAAGTCTAGTCAGAACAATGGTTAACTGGAACAAAGGCCTCGATGCAGGGCTGAACCCAGGTTTTATTAATTCGTGAAGAGGGGAGTGACTTGGAGATGAGTGGCTGTGTGAATGGCATCAAGTATGTGAATGCTGTGAATTGTGTGTAGGTTAGGTAGGAGGCTAGATAACACTCTGCAATGTGCACAGAAAGAGATAATGCAGAAAGAGTAATCTTCCTAACACAATTTGAGGGTATATCTTATGTTTTAGGTCAGTACTTCAGCTTTGGTGTATAGCCTTCTTGCTCTGAGCCATCATAGATTCTTTCTTGAGTCTCAGTCTCAGGACAGCACTAGCTCATGCATACTAGTTGGGAGCTGTAGGCAGAGCATCACTGACCTGTCACATTGCTTTAAAGACTACACATCGGCTCCTTGGCTAGATCTGTTTGCATTGCTTAAAGCCAATGGAGAGGATAAAGAAATATGCTAACTAGCTCTGTACATGTCCATATGTGGAAATATGGCCAGGTTTAGCCAAAATGGAGCCAAATGCTCTTGTTTTAAGGAGAGCTATCCTAGTGCTCCTGTACATTAGATTATTGGTCTTTTTAAGTATTATATTTATTGATTACTTATTATCACAGCAGGCAGCAAGAGTAAGCCAAGAAAGTCATTGGATTAGCAGGTAAAAATCAGACTTTCAGTAGGTGGTTTAGGACTGATGGTGGAGGTGTTTAACTTGAGAGAGACTAGGAAGCTATTATAAAGAGGACTCCTTTCAAATTTGGAAAGGCTAATCTTTTGACTATTACTGTTATTGGACTTGAGATGGTTGGGAAGAATCCCAGGTAAACATAGTCATGCAGTAAAATTAATGGAATAAATTAGTAGTTGGGAAACCTTAAATTTAGGCAGTAGAAGACCCCCTTTCTCCCCGGCTGCCTTCAAATCAGTGGGGGACAGAAAGTGACTGAAAGTGAAAAAACTCATAGAATTTGGCAGGAGGAGAGAACTGTCTTTTAGAGTAAATTTAGTGAAAATTGGAAAAGAGGATGAGTTGATTGAGTGAATGAGGTTGGGGGAAGAGAGATGGTGGACCCATCTCTCTTGAGGAACAGGCTGGGGCAGGACAGATGGTTATTGTATCAATTGGATAAAGTGTGTGTTTACTAAAAATGGCCTTTGTCCTCCCCATACTCCTCTACCATTTAATTCAGTTCCAGAGTCCAGACTAGTAGAATTCCAACACTCCCGACAAGTGTCTTGTAATGATCTTTGTTGTCACCTCTGGCAGCCATCCCCATAACTTTGTCTTTCCAGAATATAGTATTAGTTCAGTCACATAACATGGAAAAAAGATTGTCTGCTTGCAGTACGATGGCCACTCTATATACATTTAAAATGTTTTTAAAAATGCAAACACAGGCCTGGGGATTTAGCTCAGTGGCATAAGCGCCTGCCTTGCAAGCAGGCAGTCCTGAGTTTGATCCCTGGTACCGATAGAAAACAAACAAACAAACAAAAATGCAAACACAAACACACTCAAAACAATAAAACAAGGAAGAATCTGAGGTGAGTTAGGAACATGCTGAGATATAAACAGGTTTATCTAATGCAGGACCTGCAGTTCTGAGTGAAATGAGGTGAGCTTATTTGCTTTGAGCCCCGATAGGAAGGATGGGGGAGATTACACCGACCTTTTAATTTTTTCATCTCTCTAGCTAACCTCTTGCCCTTCAGTAACTCCCTCCCACTTCCAATCTCTGCCTGGCTCTTCTGGAGAGACACACACACAACAACCTTTTTTGGCATGAGCATTACGTCTTTTCTGCTTCTGAACTCTGATGACAGTGCTTTTAGCATTGAAGGAACATGTGCAGAATCCATCTGTGCTTATCAGATTCTGACTTCAGCAATAGTTGAGGGGTTGTTGGGTGACATGTAGGGGATACTTGATACAATCTAGAGTCATACACCCATGTTTCGGTCCAAGATTAATTTCGCAAAATTTTCCCTTTTGCATAATTTTTCTTTTTAATATCATAAATTTAACAGTTAAGAATTAAAAATGATAGGCTCAAAACTATCTTAGCTGAAATTGGGATTTTACCTATTAAATATTAGCAGTCATGCCCACAATTTCCATATATATATTTTTCATTTGTTTGTTTTTTGTTTTTTTCTGATCTTGAGTTCACTATAAAGCTGGCTTTGACTTGTGGTGATTCTCCTGCCTCAGCCTCTCAAATGCTGGGGTTACAGCTGTGCACCATTAAACCCAGCTGTTTTATTTATTTTTTTGGCAGTATGGGTTTATCTTTGCAAATTAAATTATGTATTCAGTCATCCCTTGGTATCCTCAGGGAACTGGTTCTAATACCCTCTGCTGGTAACAAAATCCACAGATGCACAGATGTTCAAATTTCTAATATAAAATGATTTAATATTATTATATAATCTATGCACATCCTCTCTACTGTAAGTGACATACAGGTTATTTATAATACTTAGGACAATGTAAGTGCTATTCAAGTTTCTGTTATACTGTGTTGTTTAGGAAATAATGACAAAGAATAAAGCTTTTCCACTGTAGTTGGTTCAATCAGTTGTACGTGAATGAGTTATATGTGTGAATCCACAGATTCAAAGGGATGACTGTATATATGCACTTATGTATGTATGCATATATGCACAGTTACATATTCATGGGCTTTGCATTCATTGATCAGAAATGTAATCATTTTGTTTTCTAGGTTATGGTCAAAACAGATACTTTTCTACCTAAGTGTAAATAGAAAGCCGACAGCATTTTATGGGATGTTTATCATATTCATTAGTTATTACCCTCATCCAATATCTTCATATACACAATGATTTATATACTCAGATCATCTTGTTGACCAATTCATATTTGCCACATATTCTACTGGTATTTGGGGATAGAATTTGTAGGGAGACAGAGGGGATGTTTCCATCTATTAAGATCTTTGGAAGAGAGTTAAGCATTCTGTCATAGATCCTCTTGGTGTTAATACTGGCATTATTAATATTACTATTCTATCATAAATAAAGTTATATTACATACCTTCTCATTTGTCTGGAAGACAATTTTATGACACCTTACGTATATCCAGAAGTCAGAACATAAACCCCAAAAGCCCAAAGTAGTTAAAATTTGCTAAAAGTAAATTCAACAGACTTTTTGCCTACTGTTTGATAAGTGCTTTACATATGTTGCCTTATTTAATCTGCACAATAATCTTAAAGCCATTATTCTCAAGTTTATAGAAGAGGAAATCGAAGCTTCTGAAGAAGTTTAGGGTCATACATTGTGTGGGTGTCAATTTGGGCTTTCAGTACAGTTTGAAATGTCTGTGTCACATCCTCATGCTGAGTCAAGTTGCTCCCATTTTCAGTTCTAACGACTGTGTGAGTGACCCTGGTATTTAGGATTAAAGACATAATGTCCTGTATAGTCCTTTTGTCCTTAAAATCTTTGTCTGCAGTAGACATGAATATGAAGCAGTTTAAAAAAAGAAATAAGGCTTGAGTACAGGACACTGTCTTATTGGCTCCTGCACCTACAAGACAGGCGCAGCACATAACAGGAGCTCAACACATGTATGATGAATGGATGAGTGAAATTAATGAGGAGTAAAAGCTAACTAGGAGAAAGACTAAAGTAATAAAAAAGGATTACAATAGAAAAGCATAATGATTGGGGCACTTAGTGTTTGAATAAGCACTCGCATCCCTCAGTAGTCCCCTAAAGTCATTAGGATCCTTTAGTTGTGCGAAATGATCCAGGGCAGCTAAGTGACTGTGGTGCCCTGTGCCGCAGGGAGCAAATCCCTTATTACCGTGACATCCAATTTGAAAAGTAAGGTAGTACTAAGCTGTTTTAGAAAACATAGGGCTTTTTCCCTTTAAAGCATGCCAAAGGGCTAAAATCAGTGCCTTTAAAAAACTCATGTGGAGTAGCTCTTTCTCTGTTGATTCTGGATAATGGTTAATAAATATGTTTTTTCTTTTTCGCTGATAAATTTCAACATTAAAATTTCATTACTGTTGAATTCTTTAAAAGTCAAATTATATTCTTTTTTTTTCTTTACAAGATATCTTATAAAGAACTTTATATAGTTTGTAGCATATAACAATTTATAACACTACAATTGAGTAGTGTTGCATAAAATGACAAAACAGTTTTGAATAATGTCACTGGAAAGAGTTATGATGTGTTGAAATAATTCATGTTTGGAGTATCATTTAGCTTGTTGTAAGGAAGAAAATGAGAAAATTATAGGAAGCAATTGAAATGATTTAAATTTCATTATTCAACAGCATCGATGCGCTACTTTCTTGTCTCAAGAATGTATCTATTAACAGTGATATTTTGCCTTACAGCTTTTCTGGGAGAAGAGGCTACAAGGACTTAGTGCATCAGATGTAACAGAACAAATTATAAAAACCATGGAACTACCTAAAGGTCTTCAAGGTATTCACTAAGTTTAGTTGAGCAGATATCTATCAAGTGCCTTGGGTGGCTTTATAATGATGCCTGGCACTATGTTAGATGCTGTGGATTCAGAATTGATACCAGGTCTTTGCCTTGGGGAAATTGGCATTCCTTTTGTGTGGTAGTAAACTCAGGGGAAATAAATAAGGAAAACGTGTATGTTGAAGGGATTCTTCCATGTGATATATATTACCTGAGATTTTTATTTTCTGTCTAAAAATTTTGGCTCTAGATTAGGTTTGTCATCCAATTTAACCCATGTGCTGCTTTCAACACTGAATGCAGATAATCAACAGGATTTCTTAAGCTTCTGGCTTACTGTGGGCATCTGGCCCCAACTTTTTTCTTTCTCTTTTCTTCTTGTGGAAAAAGCAACTAACTGCTTTCCTTATACCCATCCATCCACAAACTGGTGTCTTCAATAGTAGCAGAAACATGTACTTTGGCTTAGCGATAGCCGCTGGTAGGATCTGGGGTGGAAAACTCAGTACCAGTCTACCTGTCAAATCATATGGTAAAGCCAAGTTGTAGAAAACCATTTTTTCAAGTATTAGAACTTCAGCTTCTAAATTGTGATATATTGTAGATGATTCAAAAAATCTCATAATTTAGAGTTAAATTCTTATCCTTTTATATTCTTGAAAGTTACTACTTTACCTAAACAAGTTTAGGACTTTAAACATTTCACTTAAATTTTGCTGTGGTGTCTCCTGCAAATAGTCAAGGTGTGCAGTTATTCTGTGAACCTGGATATTTTATTAGTTCTTTGAAAAAGCTGTTACAGCTGCAGGTACAGCATATTCCTGAAACAAAGAAGATAAGCTTTGGGATACTGCTAGACATAATTTTAAAAGTCACAAAGAGAAGCTATTCCAAAGAGAAGCAAAGAAGATAAAACATTGAATATTGCTGGATATATATTTTAAAAGTCATAAAGAGAAGCTATTAATAGGGATGCATGAGTGTACTACCTTTATAAAGGACTTATACTATTAAGATAATTGAACTTACTTAAGGACATGTAGGCAATTTTTCAACAGTTTAAGCTTGTGAAAATGTATTTTAAAGTTTTATTAAAATGCTTAGCTTTTTGCGATAATCTCTTTTTTGTTAATTCTCTACTGTATAATATCTAGTAAGTGGATATCGCATTGTCCTTTATGCTTTGACTTGGCTCAATTTTAAACATATGCCAATTGAACACAAAAATACTGGTTGTTGTAAGCCATGCGCTTGCTCAGCACATTCAGCATTTTCCTTTAAGTAGTGCATCTTTTTGACTGCAGGAGTCGGTCCAGGTAGTAACGACGAGACCCTTTTATCTGCTGTTGCCAGTGCTTTGCACACAAGCTCTGCACCGATCACAGGACAAGTCTCTGCTGCTGTGGAAAAGAACCCCGCTGTGTGGCTTAACACATCTCAGCCCCTCTGCAAAGCTTTCATTGTCACAGATGAAGACATTAGGTAAGCAGTTTAACATGACTTTAAAAAGCTTGATTTTTGCCTGTGGGTAAATTTTATACTACCCATGAAGTTCAGTGTCAAATCTAGTACAAGATGAGCATCCTTAATCTAAAGAGTCTGAAATTGCAAGTGCTTTACAATCTGAAACCTTCTGCACTCTGACATGATGGTACAAGTGAACAATCCCATATCATGGAACTCTTTCTTGCACAAAAATATTAAAAATAGCATATACAATTACCTTCAGGCTATGGTATGACTTATATAAATGAGTTTTACATTCAAGCATAAGTCCCGTACCCACGATAGCACGTTGTAACTATGCAAATGTTCCAAAATCTGAAAGAATACAAAATTCTTCTTGTCCTAAGTGGTTTAGATAAAGTTTCCTCATCTGTGATGACTCTACCAGAAAATTATTTTTATCTTTTTTTTTTTTGTCACAGAGGTTTTCTGAAACCAATGTGTTGGGGTGTGATAATCAACTCAATATAACGTACATTTAAAAAAAAGTAATGGGATCATGAGCATGTCCAAAGGACAGGTATCAGATCAGGTGTACACGCATCATTCTGCAGTGTGTTTTGCAATTTGAGTTTCTTAATTTCTGCTGTGAGGACCCTCTTCCACTCAGTCAGGCTTTTTATGATTGCTTCCGTCATTGGTTTGTGTGTAAACCAACTTTCCTTTTATAACAGATGATAGCCGTGCTGCTTTAAGCTCAGTTTTGTTTTCAGAGTTTAATTTAGTTACATTGACTACGTTTTCTTCATTTCAGCTCAATTTAGAGATTTATTACCTGTTTCACTTTGTTTCAGGTAAAGACTTCAGGAGGATACACACACACACACACACACACACACACACACACACATTCCTTGACACGCACACACACTAAAGCAAGTGAGGAAAGCATGAGCAAAGACTAAAGCAATAAAACAGGAGTGAGAGACAACATAAGCTGCATCTTTTTATTCTAAGGCTGAGTCATCAATTAGGTTTTTCGCAGCACATTGTAAAAGGAAAGCATCCAAACTCAGTTTGATAATAACCCAAAAGGTATAAGCAAAGCATTACTCAGGCGGAGCAGACCTATTCTGTATAATAAAAACCCAAAGAAATTTTTATCTAGGATCTATGAACTTCAAGGTCATTACTTTATAATGATGATAATGATACTGAGCATATTATGTTCTCTTTAAAAATATGACAGTGTATATATTTATTTCACTGTTCTTCTGAATATAGGTCCAAAATTTATGGCAGAATTATTCCCAGTCAAAACCAGCAGATGGCACTTAAGAACCATATAATTTAAAAATATATTTCTATTTTTTCTAAATCTATGAAATTTGACATAAAATATTTCTCAGGGTGTGAATCTAGTTAGATTTATAAGGGAAGGCCCATTGTTGGCTTTAAAGTAGTTCTTTTTGCAACAGTATAAAACAAAATTATGGTTATATGCCTTGATTACATGGGATTGTTGATCAACTTTATTTTTGAAGAAATTAAAATAACAAAGTGTAAAATCAAGGCAAGATATTAGCGTGCTCTTTAGATTGTTCTTACCCTTGAGGGAAAAAATGACTTTGGAGACAAATTTTTTTCTGTTTTGAAATGAGTGTGAAAGTAGTTGGGATTCCACCAGATCATTATGGATACTGACTGCAGTTTTCCAAGTGTTATCCTGGGGATACTGATGGCTTCAGCACCAGATCATTTGATAGTAAAAGAAAATATCTCAAAGCCAGACCTCTGGATAGTTTCCTTTTTGGGTAAATTTGTCAGATTGCTCATTTGATTTAATTGTCCTAACATAAATTCTTAAGCAGACGTTCCTTGTCAAATTAATACATGTTCAAAACGAATGACCATAAATAAAATTATTACCCTTTCTTGAATTGTACAGACAATATTCTGTTTACATTAAACTTCCAATTAGAGAGCTCAAATAGTAATTGTATACCTTTTCAAGAATATTTGATAAAATTTCACTCACTGGTATTTTTGTTTTGTAATACCTTGTAACAAATTACACAATTTTGCAGTTTAAAGTAAGACTCATTAGTAGCTCACAGTTCAGCGGTTCAGCATTTGAGTTTTCTGCTCGGATCTCGTAAGCCTCCTGTCAGAGTTGGCTGGACTGCACTCCCTTCTGGAGCCTGGAATTCTTTTTCTAGCTCATGATTGTTGCGGAATTTATTCTTTGTGGTTGTAGGTTTAAGACCTGTGTTTTTGGCTGGCTACGGGACAGATGTCACTCTCAACTTCTGAAGGCTGCCTGTGGTTCCTTGCCACGTGGTCTCCTCCATGTACCCTGAAATAATCCTTTCAGGAAGGGCCAAGCCCTATTAAAGGTTATTCCTATTAGTTCAGGCCTACAGTAACTAATCTTTCTCTTGATTGTTCAGGGCCGATTGATTAGTCATGTAATCATGAAGTGATATCCTGCCTTGTCCACTAATCCCACCCACCTATAAGGGTAGGATGTGTATACAGAGTCTGTATGGGAGAAGACCCTTGGTAACTTCTTGGAATTTTGCCTACTGCAATGGGGAAATACTTGAATTTCAGCTCAGGATAAGGAAAATCAATGGGAATATGCTTTTTAAATCTTTATTATTTTCTTATGTTTGTTTTTGCTTTTTTCTGTTTTAATTTTAATTTCTCAAAGATGTGAGGCTATTTCATAACTTTATTCTTTTCTTATAAATGTACTTGGTGTTTTTAAAACAAAATAAAGATAGAATAACAAACTTCTTTCATCATTAAAAAAAAATCAATGGCAAATTTTAAGAATTTAAGATGTACTTTTTGTCATTCCAAAGTGTCAGCTGCTGTATTTCCTCATGTGATTACTCCAGGGGAGCTGTACATAGTCTCGTACTGGTGTTGGGAGTGAGATACTGCCAGTGAGGATGATGTGCCATTTGATAAACTTGGAGTCACAGGACTGGAGGGAGACTGTATAAGAAATAGATGTGTTCTTTTTTACCCTGTTCCATTATGTGAAAATCTGTTCAATTCCATTTTCTTTTAATCTGACAGAGGCTACAAAGCACAGACTGATGCAGTAGCCCCCTCCCTGTCTTTGACCCATTTTTTAAAAATCCATTTAAAAAGTAGAAGTCTGTGTCTTTTAACTCTTTGTGCTGCGTTTGGAGTTTAATAAAAATTTACTGAAGCTTACTGAAGTCTGTGTCTGTAGAGTGTAATTTGTCTTTACTGCCTTGTACACAGCCTTCTATGATACAGACAGCTGTGGTCAGGGGCACAGCGGTGTCACTTCCGTATGGCTGTCTCAGGAAGTGAGCACCAGTGACTCATGATGGACCCTCCGTGACATGGCTCCTCTGCTTTTCTGCTGTGCTAGATTTGGGCAGCGCTGCATCTGTCTCGCTCAGTTATTGGTGAAATAAATCACTTTTCTCCTCAGTTTTCCTGAGTTCTTCCTTGTCACTGTACTGCTCTGTCAGCTGCTCTGTGTCCATTCTGGCCATCTTGCTCTCTGGGGAGGGCTTACCCTGTCCTCTATGTGAGCTTGCCTCTCCCACCTCTACCTTTGCCTCTTCGTTTATTATTTTCACAAGGACCTTTACTTACCAGTCTTCCCTTTCTCCAGTGTGTCTTCAACTTTTGCCTCCCTGCCTGGTTTCGGATGTAAATTTGCCCTCTCAGGGAACGAATCTCAGCTTTCTTGGCTTTCTAAAGATAAAATGTATCGAGCAACTTTTCTCCTAGATTTTGTTTCCATCTAACGTTCAGAGCCTTATTTATAACATGGAGTTTTACTAACTTCCATTTTTGAAGTGCCCTTACTAAGACGTGGAGAAACTCATGCATGTCCTTGATCTCCTCAGCTCATCTCAGTTAAAGAGGAGTGCTTTGGTCTCTACACTCTTGTGATCCTGGGACTTTCCTGCTGAACTGTTGCCTACAGATCAGGGAGCTGCAGATCAGGAGGGCTGTCCCTTAACATAGCCACAGAGCTCTAGAGCAAATCCCAGTCTGTTGTGCTTCTGCTTGGTGTCTTTCTTAGTGCTTCATCAAAAAGTCACATTTCCTTCCCCTTCCATAGTGCCTGCCTCTTGTATCCCTGCTTCTAAGTTAGTTCTATTTTTCCTTTATAGACATAAACCTAAATCTCCATATACTTGAAATTATTTTTTATTTATGTTTTGGTGGTATTGGGCTCCAGGGCCCCCTACCTGCTAGGAAAGTGCTGTAGCATTTTTAAAAATTCTAATTCATTTTAATTAACTAATTTATATTTTATTTTGAGACTTGCTAAAGGTCCTGCTGAGTCACCCAAACTGGACTCAAAGTTGAAATCCTCCTGCCTTGGCCTCCCAAGTAGCTAGGGTTACAGGCGTGTGCCGTAGTACTTGGCCACATAGCTTGAGGTTCTTGAAATTGAGAGTGAGGTCATTGAAATAAATCCATTCCTTCCAGAATTCTGTGTGCAACAGGGATAACTGCTTGTTAATGTCTCTGTTTTGCCCAGGGCTAGGCACCATATTTGGTTTGCAAATGTAGAAGCAATTTTGCAAAGTTTAAGAGGAGTAAAGTGTATTTTCTCAGGAATTTAATGACTGTGAAGTAAGGGTGAACTTTTGAGGCGGCTTCATATTTTCATTACTTGCCAAATTTTCAGTGCCTTTTTCTTCTGTTTTTGAAAAGGAAACAGGAAGAGCGAGTACAACAAGTACGTAAGAAATTGGAAGAAGCACTGATGGCGGACATCCTGTCCCGGGCTGCTGATACAGAAGAGATGGATATTGAAATGGACAGTGGAGATGAAGCCTAAGAATATGATAGGTAAACTGATAGCAGACTCAGAGACACTTAGAACATAAGCTGTTTATGCTTCTGCTGGTTTTACTTTCTGCCCTCTTCTTTAGTGATTTAGAATCCACTCTTCTACAGAGGTTAGGCATGTGCTATTGTTTGGCTCCTCCATGTGTTTAAGGGCCACGGAAGTTACTGCATCCATTTATCCACCTCCAAGGAATCCGTTAGCCCTTCTTTATTCAAACCATAGAAAATCTCTAGGTGCCATTCAAGAAAAGCAGAAGGGCTCTGTGGGATACGAAGTTACTCCAGGAAAGTAAGGTAGCTGCTTTCTGGGGTATATTGTTCCCTCTTCAGGATTATGGTGGGGTGATAGGCGAGATCTTTCCCTCTTGTGGGGTTCTCTATACTGGAGACTTGATGCAGAGAGACTAAGAAAGGTATCATCGAGTATAACACATAATTTTCTTTAAAAATACAAATTTTGACTTTACCCTAAATTCACATACGAGGTTCCTGAGCTCTGTTTCATTCACTCTGTGTCTGTTCTCTGTAGATGATTCCAGTAGAATCTTAAGCTGCAAATGGATGTAGCTTCAGTATGGCTTCTCCAACTTCTGTCCTGCATTGGCTGGCCTGTCTTGCTTTCTGCCACTTGTAACCTCCTTATTTGTTCCCTTTGAAGTCACAGTGGAGAGGGAGTAAGAGGGAATAGCTAACATGATGTGAAGGGTCAACAAACGATGAGGAAGTGATATTTGCCTTGAGCCTGAAAATGCTTAGGAACAAATAAAGAGAAGTTCAGGTAAAAGTGAACACCTTGAAGGGACAGCAAAGAGAAACTTGGTTTCTTTAAGATGCAAAGAAAAGATCAGTGTGGTTTGAATGCATGGAGGGGGAATGTATTGGCCGCATACTTAATCAGACAAAGCTTGTGCTTTATGGTTAAAGATTTTGAGTGTAAAGTGTTAAAACCAGTGGGAATCTGGTGAGGATCAGGAATGTGGTCACATTTAATGACTTACAAGGTACTTTCAGCTGCTGCTGAAAAGTTTTGGAGCAGGCAAAGCTTAGCAGCAAGGAGCCCAGTTGAGGTGATATTGTGGTAGTCCGGCAAGAAACGTTGGTGGGTTTCCAAAGTGTTGACAGTTTGTGGGGAGAAAAGGAGGAGGTTTGTTGAGATACTTTTGGGGACAGAATTGTCTTGACTAGATGATTGAAAGGGAGCTTAAAAGAGTAGCAAGGATGAATCATGTTTCATACTTGAACCCTTGGAAGAGGGAAGGAGTTCTGCTAAGAGTAGGGAGTGCAAGGAGGTGAGTTTTACTGTTGATCACCTCTTCCTTTCCAAACAATGTGGTAGAACGTCCTAGCACTTACATGTCTGGCAATGGCAGCAGTATTTTTCTGGTCTCATAAAACTGTTTAAATCCAGTCTAGCTTTGTTTTAATTTTTAATCATTTTTAAAAAGTTTTAATCTTACTAAGGATAGGAAGAAACTATATCAAAATTCTGGATTTTATTTTCCAAAATAGCACAGACGTGTTATAATGGGCTTCAGGAAGCATCTTCACGACAAGTGAACTCTGACGGGGAGAAGTCTGACAGGTGTTTCTTTTGTCTGAGGCCCAGCTGTGCCATCCTGGAGGGCAGTGAGGGAATCTGCAGTTATGCCAGCATCTGTACCACTGTGTCAGGATGCTTAGAAGGCCTTCCCCTTCTGTTGGAGCATTTTAGTTTAGTTTCAAGTCTTTCTCAGAGGCTTTTTTTTTTTAAAAAAAACTTCACTTTTCCACCATTTTTGTTGTTTTTCAAAATTTTGATACACTTTATATATATATATAATGATCACACTCAAAATGAGTATATCTGTGCATGATCATATATCAGTGTATCGTGATTCTTTTTTCCCATGATTCTCCTTTCCCTTCAAACCTTCTTCCCCTCCTTATTAACACAAGTGTTGTTTCCATTTTTTTAGTTTTCCCTTCCTTCCTTTCCTCTCCTCCTTTTCTTTGTTCCCCTTCCCATTTGAACATTGTCTTTGTACTTTTCAGTATCTGTCGTCCGTTTTGGTCCTTATGTACCCTTTCGGTTTCTCACAGCAGAGAAACAATGAAATATTTAAACATGTGTTTGGTTTATTTTGCTTAAAAGTATGGTCTCAAGTTGCATTCATTTGCCTAGAAATGTCTTAAGTTTATCCTTCTTTATAGCAGAGTGGTACCCCATCATTTGTGAAAACCTCATCTTTATCCATTCATCAGTTGATGGGCATTTGGGCTGTTTCCAAAATTTAACTATTACAAACTGGGCCCTCAGACTTCTCTTGTGACGTCAGTTTGGGATACTCAAGGGCCATCATATAGTTAAGGCTTATGTAGACCTGTGTTTCCTTTGCAGATGACTTTGCAGATTGATAGCAAGGCAGCACTCAAATCACCAACTAAGCAAGCGTGTGTGTTAGGCACTTTACATGTATAGAAGCTGGCAACTGGCCATTGCCTTGTCCAAATGTGGTTAGTAGTAATTACAGACTTGTTATTGTCGAGTAGTTAAGAGTTTTAGTCCTTAAAGATGGCCACTGTTTTGATGTGTTAGGGAAAGAAGGATTCCTGTTATGTTTGTCATATTGTAAACTTGAGAATGGCATTAGAATGGGTCATAAGACTTTTAGACTGTAGAGGATTTGCAAGTACTCTTTAGTTACCTGCATTACTTACCTAGCCCAAAATATACATAAAATGCTTAAGAAAGGGGAGTATGGCTTAATTAGATGTTCACAGTGTGAAACAGGACTGATTTAGGTTGGCAAAGAGTGGGATGTGGCCAGCTTATCACAAAGCTTGTAAGAGATGGACCCTGAGTCTTGCAGCATATGGTTCACTTCAGGTCTGTCGGTTTCTTCAGGCCTCAGCTCCTGGTAATGTTCCTTAGTAGCAAGGCAGGTCTACATTTGTTTATTTAAATAAACAAATTTACTGTATCACTTAAATCATACAGGAAATGTTTTAAGAATGATTGCAAAAATATAACTGTTAAAAAAGATGTTAAAATATTTGACTGTGAATGAGTTATACTAAAGATATAACTAGTTGAGTTTTCAATTATACAGAACCATTTCACTCAGAATAAATGAAACTAAGTACATCTCTATAAATGATCTAGAGTAAAGTCAATCATTATGAAGTAAAATCATTGTAAGTAGAAATTTTTTCAAAATACTATATGTTTGGGTTTGGTGGTTATGCTTTTTCATTTGTATGCCCTTTGAATTTCCTTATTGTGCTAATTTAGTTAATGGTGGATAGAAAACATTTATAGAACCATACGAAGGGATACATGTCCCTTCCTTGAAAATTAAATATATTAAAGATTACCAAAATAGAACATTTGAAACATTGGGGGAATATTTTGAGTACTTTTCATTTGCAAAATACAGTAAATGCACAATGAAGAATTAAAGCAGGTTCTAGGTGAAATTTAACTTTCTTACTATTATTATTATTTTTTTTTTTTTGAGTGTTGCTGACCTTTCACTGAGAAAACATTGAATTACTTATTTCTTTGCTTTTTTTGCAGGTAACTTTGGACTGACTTTCCCCAAGAGCAAATTACTAGAAATTGAATAAAAATGTTTCCACTGGGTTTTGCCTGTAAGAAAAAAATGTACCCGAGCCCATAGAGCTTTTTAATAATAGCACTAACCAATGCCTTTTTAGATGTATTTTTGATGTATATATCTATTATTAAAAATGATGTTTATTTTGAGTCCTAGGACCTAAAATTAGTGTTTTGTAATATCAAGAAGGACCGTAAGAAGCTGAGCTTTTCATGCAAGGTGCAATCTACTGGAAATGTAGCACTTACGTGAAATATTTGTTTCCCCCACAGTTTTAATATAAACAAGCCAAGAGTACCAAATAAATTTCCCAATGAAAGATTATTGTGACTTCACTGTATATAAACAGATTTTTATACTTTATTGAAAGGGGACACCTGTAGATTCTTCCATCATCACTGTAAAGAAAAATAAATGATTATATTCACAGACTGATTGGAACTTTTTCTGTTAAAGAGCACACACAATAAGTAGCCCCTCATTAACATTCCTGATACACTTCAATTTTGATCCTTGGGCCTTAGGTTTGAAATGGAGGTGGTGGAAAATAATTTATGCATTTGTGGTATGCCTCCAGATATGTTGAAAATTGTGCTTTCACCAGAAGTTTTCATTTTTATCTGCAGTGTATTTTTTTCCTTGCCTGTGATTAGTACTTGTGACAGTTCTATCTTAAAAAAAAAAAAAAAAAAAGGCTTTTTCTTTCTTTCAGCATGAGTTAGGCACACAAGTACCTTTTAGGTGCTACTTGAAGTTCATGTTGCTTTTGCTAAAACAGTTTTCACTTTCTGACATCCAGTAGCTTACTGAGTTCACAGGTGCAGGTCAGACTCGCACCACAGAGAGAGGCAGCTTCTAGACAGAGCTGCTTAGTGAACCAGATTGTGATTCTTCACTAATCAGTATCCAGCATCCAAAGTGTTAACATATTTTTTGTGTTGAAACTCATACGCCTAACTTTATTACCACTTTAAATCCTTTCTTTCGGTTAAATTTCATGATACCCAATTACTTAAGCTGGCATTACTATATCATTATGTTACTAAAGTTAAAACATAATCCGAGGAAGGGGGAGTGGCTATAAACAAATTTCGAGAAATGGAGCAAAAAATGATGTTGTTCTGTAGGAACAGGTTATGTACTTCTTATGCTTTCATTTTAAATTAGACCTGATAGAGCTCTTACTGTCTTATTAGCATAGCTGTGGGTTCAGTCCGCAGCACCACAATAAATTAAGTAAATAAATAATAAAATAGGAGCCCTGAGTGATGTGGTGAAGGAAACTAACTCTGTACATTTTGTTATCATTACCTCCAGCTTCTTTTAACTCCCAAAGGAAAAAGAGGAGGAGGAGATTAGCAATATGACTAGCTGTTGTGTTTCTGGACCTTTATTGTCAAACTATAACTACTCTGTGGAATTCCTGTTTTATATTCAGCTTTGATCCTCAGGCCTCAGGTCACAAACTTCTTTGGAAACAGCTCTGCTAGAGGATGAGCAGGGAGACTTGTAGTCTCCAGGAGGGCTGTTGACAGATGGTCCCTCTGCTTTGGGTCCATCCATGTCCCAAGTGGGGTGGGTGGGGAATTAATATCAGTTTCTTTTTAAGAGCTAGTATGCCTAATTAGAAGGATAGCCAAAGGTTTTTTTCCTCCTCCCTGCAATCCATGAGCATTATTTGCAATAAACCTGGAGTATTTTCACCTTGATGATCATAATTTTACAATGCACTCAAACCAATCTATCTGTGCTTTTCTAAACAGATTGGTAAAAGTGAAGTCACTGTACACACTCTTAAACTTTTTTCTTGTATACTTTTCTCAGGTAGAGAACGAAATCTGAAAACTATTACATGGTATCCTACTGGAGACCATTGTATAAGTCCAGGATGTTTCCAATATACTGACAGGACATGTCCAAATTAAGTGATACTATCTCATCCCCACAGACTTAACTGCCATCTTGCATTTCCCAATTTCAGTAAAAGCAAAGCAGAAGCGGCCCCCCAGAGATCCCGCACGTCCCTTTTGTTTTCCTTGCTTGTGACATTTGTCAGTCCTGTTAGAACTACTGTATTAACTGCACCTCTCACATGTACACGCCATCGCTTGTCCATCACATCTTGCTACGAACCTTCCCTCTCCTCCATACTCTCATTGGCTTCCTTTATTTCACATGTTCACTGTCCCTTTCTTTTCTCTTTTGTCCCCTCCATGTAGTCATCAGAATGATTCTCAAAACAGGGCAGTGTGGTTGCGTCCCTTCCCTGCTCAAAACTCCTCACTAGTAGGAATAGAGTAGTTTAGAGCTATTTTTAAGAGCAATCACTCTGAGATTAGAACCTGTGTCTGAACCCTGGTTTTGCCATTGTGTGACTTATCAGGTTACGGAATCTTTGATCCTGTTCCTCCTCAGTGAAATAAGAATAATACCTACCTCATAGAGTTATTGTGGGGATTCAGTGAGATAGTCTATAAAGTGTTTAGCACAGTGCCTAGTGTGTAACGTGTATACACAGAATGCCACTGTTTTCCCCTGCTGTTATTTTTATGTCACTTCCAAGAGACACTTTTGATAACCCTAACTATCTCTACCCTAATACTATATTTTCAGTACTCTGTTCATTTTCTTTGTAGAAAATTTCTGAATCTGTATTTTATTTATTTGCTGATTTTTTGGGTCTATCTCTTACTAGACTGTAAGCTCCACGAGAGCAAGGATGTGTCTGTCTTGTTCCCTGGTTCAGCCTCAGCACGTGGCTTAGTTTCCGGCGCACAGTGAGCACTCCATAAATGTTTGCAGAATAAATAGAATGGTTGAAAGGCCCCTCATGATCTCGTAACTGCCTCACTGTCTAGCCTCATTATATTTCTGTCCCCTTGTATTTTTGTCTCCAGAAAATCTGCATTACTTGCTCCTTTTATCCCCTTGAGCCTTCGTGTCTTTGCACCTGTTGCTTCCTTTGCCTGCCTGACTACATGGTAACTTCTGGTCGTTGGTCAAGTCTCAGCTTAGCGCTACCTCCTCTGTGATGCACTGTTTCTCCAGGCAGATGTTCTTTTCCTCCTTCCAAGTTCCCACTACACTTTGTAAATACCTCTGTGGAAGCACTTTATTGTATTGTATTGTACATTTTTTCGGATGTCTGTTTCTACTATTACACTGTAAGCACCATGAAAGCAGAAATTGCGTGTTTTCGTTCTAATTTCCCTAGGGCCTTGCACAGTGCCTGGCACATATGAGCCTGTCAATAAGTGACGAATGAATTTGTGATCTAACAAAGAATCATGCAGTTGGAAAACTGTTGGATGTATGTATTTTCAAGAAAAGGAGTGCCCTGGTGGCTTTCAGAGGGTTTTGGCTTTTTTGTTCTTGTTTTTTTTGCTCTAGAGAAGAAATCTAGAGAGTATTATGTAATCTCTTTGAATTCAAGTTTACTTGTTTAAGTTTAAAAATAATATAACTTGGGTAATACAGATCTTCGTAAATTATTGCAAAAGATATCAAAGGCTTTGTGATCTCTCAAATGCTATAAAGTCCAAATATTTGCACTATTATATTTCCATAGTAAATGCTATGCGAAAATGTACAGCAATAAATTTTGAAGCTTTAAAAATGTTTGTGTAAGTCATCTTCAATGACTTAATCCATGAAGAACGTCTCTGGCCTGTGTTTCCTGGACACAAGGGACTTTAGTCTGGCATTCAGGGCCCCAAAGCTCTCAAAGCACTTCTGTCGACATTCTTTCATCTGTGGTGAAATAGTTACTCATTCTGCTGACATGCTTAGGACACGATGGACTTCAAGGGTGTACTGCAGAGTGGGATTGGGAGAAGGGGGATGGGGCCCACCCTGCCTCGAAGCCTCCATGGGGCTGCCCTAGCTTAATCTTCTTGCTTGTTTTCTGGAATGTATATGGGACCTCTATGCAAGAAAAATACTCCACTTGCCTCTACCAAGTCCCCATGTAGGGCAAGGAACATTGGTTCCATTAGGGTTAACTGGGAGTAACTGTTGGATTGGGGCTTGAAATTATGGGCGATTTAGTCAATTTACATATCATAGGATCTTGAGTAGAATATAAAATTTAAATTTGCACATTGATTATAATGACAGTTTTTGGCAATAGTTACTCTTTCAATTATTTAGCTTTGCTTTTATGAGAAGAGCATAAAAATTTTTATTCTCCTTTACATAGCATTTTATAATTTACAGAATACATTCACTATCATTAATGTCATCTTTAAAGGTTAACCACGCAAGAGGTACATATCCTTTTCATTATCCTCATTCAAGAATTACAAAAACTAAAAACTCGGACAAATGAAATGAGTTATCCAAACTAGTAAGATGTAGAGAGAGGGGTTTGAACACAGAGGTCTTCTCTTTCTAGGATACTATGACCTTCAAAACTGCCCCACACAGACTGCAAAGTTGCTTTTCAATGACAGGAACATAGTTGAGTTGTTCAGGTACAGTATGGGTGTAGCCTAAAAGCTTAATAGAGGGAGGAGTGATTCCTTAAAGGAAATAGGTCATTTTCTGTGTGAATGTTCAGCTCTTTGCCAACAAAATCTGTGGAGAAATCCTTTACAAGGATTATATCTTCTATGTAAGAGACAGGAAACACATAGCTTGTTAAGTCACAGAATGTTGGGCGTTTTTTTTTCATTTGGGGTTTGCTATTCTCTCCTCTGTAGCGCTTGCAGATTCTTGCTTCCTGAACCTGACTCTCAGAATTCTGGCAGCTATCTGGGACTGTATAGCTATATACAGCCCCTGAGGAAGAATATTCAAAGTAGGTTATGCACGGGAAGGACCTATATCAAACCATTCATTGGGTGGAAAATATTTGGCCTAATATATGTTTCCTTCTCATGCTTCTGCTATTTTAATTTTAAGTGTTTTATTATGTACATATTTGTGGAGTATTACCTGATAAAGATTTTAAATAAATATCCATAGGTTTGGGATATAGTCTTAAAAAATATTACTAAAAGAGTTTGAGACCATTATTCCCTTGCATGTACAGGGGTCCCTGTACCCCTAGAATCAAGGGGCCTGCCAATGTCTTGCCATTACATACAAAGTTGTATAATTATGTGCCCTTTCTCTGGAGTTGTAGTCATAGCTTCTATCAAATTCCCTGCAGGAATTTAATTGAGCAAAAACGAGTCACCACGGCATGGGCCAGTGATTTCATTCCACTAAAGCTTGTACTGGTTTAAGGCTGACACAAATTAAGATCATCTGTACCCTGATTTTCCATTTTGGTTTAATGAATTTATGCTAATAAAGTACCCAATATAGTGCTTGTCTCCCCCAGTGGTTATGTGTTTCATAAATAGAACTTTTTTTTTCCCCTCAAAAACTAAAAAGCAAGCAGAAAACAAAGCAGAAAATCCTGGTGATTTTTTTAGGGATTGGAA